TGGCAAGCCTAGCTGTTCTCTGCCAGACTTGCACCACATTGTCTATGTCTTTTTTGTGCAACTGAGCCACAAAATTGGGCACTACTCAGATAGTCTCTCGCAAGGGTTAAATAGCAGGGAAAAATAACTTCCTTTGAATTGCTAGCTACGTTCATCCTGTCACTGCTTGCCTCCACTGCTCTGATTCACACTGAACTTATCCACTAGGATTCACAGATGCCTTTTTGGAACTGCCCTGGCCAGTCACTTGCTCTCCTGTAGCATTGTAGTTTTTACACCATGATGCAAGACTTTGCCTTTGAACTTCTTGAGGTTTCTGTAAGTCCCTTTCTGCAGTCTGTTGATTGTCCCTCTGACTGAAAGCCCTGCTCCCAGTCTCCACTGGAAGCCTCCACCACCACAATCCCCTACCCTGTCCCCAGTTTGGTGTCATCCAGAATCTTAACAAAGGTTCATCCCATCCTATTCCATCACTTAGGTTGTTAATGATGACAGTAAAGAACACAGGGATCAGTATCAATCCCTGAAGAATGCTACCAGCAACCATCCACCACCTGGTCTTCAAAACACTGATTTTTTTTTTTAAGCCTGGACAGTCTGGACAGTTTTTTACACACTGTGCAATCTTCCAGTCTATATCTTTCCATTTTTTCTACAGTGGCACTATGGATGCAGTGTCAAGGACCATGCTAAAGTTAGGGTAGATGACATCCACTGCTTTCCCTTTATCTACCAAGCCAGTCATCTTAATGTAAAAGATAATAATTGTGCCTGTACTTCCGGCACAATTTGGCTTTGGAAAACCCCAGCATGTTGTTTCACTGTTTTGTCCCTCATGCACTTGGCAATGAGTGTTTGTGAGGTTTGATCCATGATCTTACTGGGGGCTGCCATGGATATGACTGACTTGTAGTTTCCCAGAACTTCGTCCATTTTGTTCATCTCCACAACTCTTAAAAAAGGAGAGAGAAAGCTCCCCCACAGGAAGACTGGCCTGTTCCCTCAGGAACATCAGATGCCCAGCTGGTCCCAGTGCTTTTGCCTGGTCCACAAAACTGGTTCATGGACTGATCTAGTTCTGCCATGGGCAGTACCTCACTCTACCAGGCACTGTTACCAGCCACAGATATTTGGGAGCCCTGAGAGTGGACCTTGCCAATTAACTCAGGCAAAGAAGACATCAAGCAATTGAGCCTTTCCCATGTCCTTTGTCACTAAGTAGGTCCCCTGCATTACTCGGCAGGTCCATACTTTCTTCCTCTTTCTGATTGAGCAGTTGTGACCCGTTGTACAGGAGAAGGACAGTGATGGAACAGTTCTCACCAAGGCAGTTGTCACAGCTCTCACCAAGGCAACTGGCACCAGCCTGGCTGCTCCATACTGTCAAAAGAATGCAGAAGGAGACAGACACCGTTGCCCATCTGGGTGAGATGGGGGATAAGAGAGCACTCCCAAGGGGTCCCAAATGGAAAATGTAAGAGTATGCTGTATATGACCAAGAGATTGCCAGAAACCCATCCATGCTGGGAATACAGACAGAAATCTGAGTTCACCTTAGAAGACAATAAATGTCTTCTGGGAAAAGAAGCAGCAATCAACCCATTGATCTAACCGAGGCTTAAACAACCATAATTCAGCAAACTATTAAGACACCTATCTAGTTGTCCACTTAATAGAACTACCCTGGAAAATACCCATTCACTGAAGTTGAATAAGAATAAGTGCATTATAACTTACATTACTGCCAGTCGACAGATGGAGCAAGCTAAGATGAAACCCGGGCCATTATAATATAGTGATCTTTTTGTAATTTTTTTCTGTCTGAAACACACATAACTTTTGAAGATGTAAATTCGTAAAACGTCATGCTTTATGTATTACATTTTTGGCATCTACTTTAGTTTTTAAGAATGGATGTTGTCTAATTATGCAGTGCAGCTTTGGATGAGAAAATATACTAAGTGTGCATTAAACAGACAACTTTAAATAATGGCACTTGTGCTAAGAAGTGTATTTTCTGGCAAGCAACTAATTTATAATGGTCATAGATATATGCATTAGTGTATGAAATGCTTGTCTTTATTTATTGATTTGAAGGGGCAGTATTATATTTTTGAATACGTCTTCTTTATTGGATCCTGTTTTAATCTGCAACAGACCTTGTTATATTTCATGTCTTAGGATATTCACACCACCTGAAAAACAGACAATGAGAATAACTATACAATAAATAAAACCTCCCAATTAATACTGTGTGTTTAAAAAGACATAAGCATATAAAGTTCAGCTGTATCCTTTTCTTCTGACTTTTTACCATGTCTTGGTTTGCTTTTAATGTGCATATCAGAGGTAAAGAGAATGATATTAAATGACCAAATTTACAGCGTTCTTAGTGCATAAACCACTACACTAGATCTTTCTAAGCCAATTTAATTTTTAGCTTTATTCTTGGCTTAATGCAATGTTTTAGTTCATTGCACTTTTTGGATGTGCAGAAGCA